TATTTTGCCCGTAGTGGTCCATAACAATGATTCCTACTTTTCACCATGTTGTAACACTACAACAAAACCGGTGTAAATTTTGATAGCAAGATGGATCGTTGCAGAACGAACAACTTTGTGTTATTACAAATTTTTGGTGCAGGCGGAAGTACAAAACCACTGTTTTGAAATATAAATTTGTTTCAGAAAGTTTGGTAAATGTTGTTGGATTACAACATGTTTTGTTTTTTAACAACACTTGTTGCTGTCAAACTTAACATCAAATGTGTTGTAAATTTACAACCAATTTTTAAACAGTGCAGCGGCCATGGATAATCATAATCAGGCGTGTGGCAGGAGGGCTGGAGGTTGGGCTGGAGGTCGGGGGGGGGGGCAAAGGGAGTAGGGCACAACGGCGCGAGTCCGATCACGAGCTTTGACTTTCCCCCGGGGGCTGGCTCCCTGCATGCCCCGCCCGGGGACGACGACCAGCGTGGTCTACCGATGGCTTGGGCACTGTCCAACTATGCAGCCCCCCCTCCCCCTCCCCAGCTACCAGCGGCCCGGCGGCGTGCCACACTGCGATATCGGTCACATGAATGGTGTTTGTCACCCGATCTCTCTCTCTCCCTCTCCCTCTCCCTCTCTCTCTCTCTCTCTCTCTCTCTCTCTCGCGTGGCTGACGGAGAAAGGGGAAGTGTGAGCATAGGGAGAAGGCAAGCTTCTAAACCTTTCTAGAATCGCCTTTAATTTTGATTATTTTCCCTCGAAAATCCGAGACGAAGAGAGTGGGCAACGGCAGGCAGGAGGCACTTATTGGCAAGCACAGCAAAGTCTGATGGGTGGACCACTTGACGATTCCATGTCACACTGAAAAATATTCCAAATATTCGATATATTCCAAAAGTATCCCAGATATTCGACTAAAAATAATCCCGCTATTCCATCACAATTTTCTAGATATTCTAGGCATGTTCCAGGTATTGCAAGAATATTCCAGGTTTCCAGGTATTCTAAAAGTATTCCAGGTTTCCAGGTATTCTAAAAATATTCCAGACATTCCATGTTGACCAAAAATCTGAGCTGTCGGCTCCTCGGGCAATAAGTCCGATTACCAGACCGCCTCGCACCTGCCCCCGCCCGCCCGCCCTGTCCAGCTGCATAGGACAGAGCGGGTAATCATGAGCCACGGCTGGGGGGAAAGGAGGGGCAGCCACCCCGAGCCCAGGGGACGCCCCCCCCCCCTCCCCCGGGACCACCGACGGCGTGGCGTAGCCAGCCACACAGGCGTCCTGATACCAACATCCCGACCGCAGCCCGCAGCGCCGGGCCTGGCGCAGCACTCGAGCCAATCAGAGACGATTAGGCAGAGTGATTGCGAGCGCTGCTCGGCTCGGCTCGAACCCCATCCCCCCTCAGCTCGACCCCTCGACCTGCTCAACCTACCCGCACCTCAAACTCCTCACCTCAAGCCCACACTCCGCTCCTCCCTCCCCTCGCACCCCGCCCGACCCCCTTATACCAAACCCGTCGAATGTGTGTGTTTCTCCGTACACAAAACACAGGCGTAAAAGGGGAGACGGAGAGTTCAGTGAGTGTTGTAAAGGCAGTGTGCGGCACGAGACGCCTGACGCCCTCAAAGTCGGGGGCTAAACAAGAAGAAAGAAGTTAAATTATTGAACATTCGCGGGAAGTGCTTAGCAGCGGCATCCTTGTTACTTTCGGAGGCAATTTCACCACCCGACAGCAGCAGCCGGCAG